TTAAAATGTTTCAGAAGCAAACTATTCCATGAGAGAACAAATAAGTGAACAAGCACAAAGAAAGTGAATTCTCTTCCCCCAAGTAGCAGAAAATTCAGAGTACGGCCTGACCGCATGGTAATTGTTCTGTTCCTTAGATGTCATTTTACATTATTTTACCTTTACACCACACATTGAGTGACATACATTTATTATTTCTTTACAAATACTAAGAGCACTAATCGACCTAAGCCTACATGCCAAATGATTGAATTTGACCCTTTTGACTATTCCTTTTGAGTAGAATTGACTTGAGATTGTCTCCCTTCCTCTCAGGGGATGGCGGGTCCGTTGGTCTCAATAAACCGCCCGACCTCCCCTGCGCGGACGAACGGGATCCTCAGTACGTGCGGTGAAGCTGAGCTGATTGCGTCGTGGCAGAACCTCCGCGGAACCGAACCCAGTCATGAATACGTCCGCTCGCGTGGGAGTCTGCGCTCCCAGTCACCGCCCCTTAGCCGCTGTAACGCGCTTAGAAACGATGGGCGGAGAACCGTAGGAACGCTATGAACGAAGAGTTCATGACAGTAATGAATATATACTCTTTGAAACATCCAAGACTAGACAGCAGAAATGATGGGTAAGTATACTACTTGGATCCTAAAAATAAATTACCTTGGAGATATTTGAGACAAACTTCAGCATCTGCTTGCTTATTTTTTCGCCCACAAAGAGTGTCACCTTAAAAGAGTAAACGTTCGAGAAAGTAATTTCAGAAAGTTTCATAAGAGTTGAATGAAGAAGGGCGCGAACCTGTGCAGTGTAGAACTGCTGCCTGAGGACAAGGAAGCATGTTTTTCCTTTACTGCGTATTGCATGGACGCGACCACGGACCCAAACCTGAAAAAAAAACATGTCAATGACGCAACGAAAAATATGACAGCATCCAAAACAACTGATGACATGCCAGTTACTTTTACCTATATGGAACGCTGCATAAAGCAGTCGTGAGAAACAAACAACCGACATCAATACGAAAGCATCAACAAAGAGACTGTGTAAGCTATCTATAATAGAGCCCGGGGCTTTTCGCTTCGGCACGCGAAAATCCATTCACCACTGAGATGCTGTCAGACTCCAGTGAGTGAGAGCGCTGGACACATGATGCGATCGCACTCCCCAGATAAGCATGCACTTGCAGGTAAACGCGAGGCTAAGTCGCCTTCCTGCACACCATTGGCCACAAGCAATTATACAGCAAACACGCATCTCTCTTTTCTCACGGCTAGGGCTACCGTATTCCGAACAAAGGAACGAGTTCTAACGATGCCCGATCTTACTCGACGCTTTCTGTCACCCACATAGCTACGAAACTCCGATCTCTCACTGAAATCAAGTACAATTACTTATCAAACTACGCAGTCGAAACACGTTTCAGCACGCTTTTCGCGTTCGCGCGCGATTTTCCGCACAAAGTCTGCTCATCACGTGATCCGCATCTGTGAACAGATGTGTTCGTATAAACGTCAGCAACACCACGCGTTAAGATATAGACCTTGAAGAGTTTGCGTAACCCAGAACACGACGATAAAGCACGCAGCCCAATGATGGCTGATTCCGGCTCGACCACACCTTGCCGATGCAGCTCATGATATTAATCAGTCTGCTCATGATATAATCAGTCTGGTAACTCCTGACTGCATTCTGAAGAGATAGCCTAGTGTGTGAGAGGGTTTAAAACTACTCCTCACAACTCTATAGACAAGTGTAGTAATTGGCGAACTGCAACGAATCGCGCGGCTGCTTAGGCCGATGTCAGACTTTGCGAATCGCGCGATTCGCTAGCGTCCGCGGTCGCGTTGCGGTACCAGCCAATTGAGTGATTCACTGGCCGCGACGCGACCGCAGACGCTAGCGAATCGCGCGATTCGCAAAGTCTGACATCGGCCTTAATTTTCGCAATGTTTGACAACTGCCACATGATATGAAGGAGAAAAGTCACCTCACCTCTTGACCATGAATACTGGCGTCGATCTCACTCAATTTAGTGAATACAATGTCCTTTTTGTCAGTCGACTGAATCATGCCATAGCTACCATACATTCCTACTGAGACGTCTTCAGCTTCTTCTTCCTTAGGCTGAGATGAAGCTTTCTAAAAACGTGATGTGAAGAAATTTACATTTGCACTGACAATTCAATTTGAAAGTAGGTACCTGAGCTTTTAATTCAGCTATTTTAGCGGCCTTTGCAAGTTTATTTAACTCCTTCTTGGAAAGTTTCTTCTCGCCTCCTTCTGCCACATCATTCATATCCTTCTCATCCACAGCGACTGACATTTCCACCCTTAAAGTATTGCATTTAAGTTTCCACTACTTGATTACACTGAGGGAACAATCAAAGGGCAATTGACGTGATTACAACACAGCAGTAACAGCACAGCAGTACGCAGTGCGTTGAAGTGACAAAAGACAACTGGCGTAAGATAATGTGTTTTGGGGTGGTTGCACAATTTTCAAATCGCATTGCACCATGGGGCTTTGTTTTTGTGTTTATTGTATTTTTTATCATTGTTTGTTCTCAGGAAGCCCTCCTCCTTAGTGTCTAGTTTTTTTGGGTTATTTCAGATAGGGGGACATTCTGTGCTATACATTTTCTGAACAGAAATGTATGTAAGTGGGACTGCTGCCCGCTACTATACTGTCACGAGAATCGGGGAATTCGTGAGCCAGGGGGAGTGTAGCCAATCTAGGGGGTGGGGGGTGAGGGCAGTCACTTGACATGCGTGAAAAGCTGGGCGTGCCCACCCCACTTGTATAGAGCCGGGCCAATCGAATTATATTT